ATGTAGTTGGGAAGAGCCTCTTGTGATTTAGAACACTCTTCCGGGTATAGAGACTTATTCTTACAAATAGACATTTCCTTTTGTCTGAATCATTATGTCATCAACATGGATGTGTTTTTTGTCAAAGACAAATATATTGAATAACAATAAACAAGCTATTACTATGTTATCTTTTAAGTTACCAGGTATCCTTAATTTCACTTGGAATTCATGACCATTGTGGCAAACATGTTCTTTTATTCCATTTAAATCTTAACTATCAATATTAAATCACAGGTTGCTCATTAGGCTTCACACAATGGTTTTTAAGTTACAGAATAGGAAGAGTTACAGTGGCTAGCTATCCCATCTGCAGGAAAGGTTCAAAGGGACCTACTAAAGACAAGGACAGAGAGCAAAGCAAGAGTTTCTATGATGATTAAATATTAATATAATGAATCCAGTCACAGAGATGTTCAGAAATAGAGCTATCAAAGCATTGCTGGGTTTGAGACAAATGACACTTTGAGCAGGTATGTGTCTGTGTCCAAGAGAGGATCATGCTGAGCTGAAGTCTCTGGGACAAAATTGGGACTTAGTCAACGGTGGATCCCATGACATATACATTGGAGGATGCCACTGAATCCCAGTATTTGGTACTTTTCTTTATTATCCAGGTAAGGAGGCTGAAGCATTCCTCCTCCCTCCTTCTTCCTCTCCTTCTTTTTCCTATAAGCTCACAAGCCTGGTTTTTCTGAAATGTTTTGTGTGTGTGTGTGTGTGTGTGTGTGTGTGTGTGTGTGTGTGTGTGCGTGCACGCTGGTACTGGGGCTTGTCCTTTGTTTGTTTATTTAAGGCTAGAGCTCTACCCTTCATCTACAGCTGAACATCTAGCTTTTTGGTGGTTAATTGGTGATAAAAATCTTACAGACTTTCCTGCCAGATCTGTCTTTGAACTGTGATCCTTACATCTTATCCTTCTGAGTAACCAAGATTGCAGTCATGAGCCACCAGTGCCTAGCCTGGTTTTTGGCTTTTTGAACCAAGGTCTTGCTATGTATGATTATCAGGTTTGCCTTGAAACCTGATACTACCAGGTTTTAATGTACTACCATACCCTGCATTAAGAATGAAATTGGGGGATGGATTCAGACTCTAGCAGTAGCCATGCCAACTTGGTATCATTTATGGCTGATTTGCAATACAATGGCAATGTAGAGTCGTCATGACAGAGTGCTAATGACTCACAAATTCTAAAATATTTATCCTGTATGCCTTTACACAAAAGTTTACCAAGCCCTGTGCTAAGCTTTATACAAATGAATCCACAACTTGGTATGCTTTCCCCTCTTCCCGTCCCAGCAAAGCCTCATTAAAAACGTTTTCTCCAGTTCTCATCTGATTATTCCATCTGGCAACATAGTTCTCTTTATTATCTCTCAGCATTACATAATATAGGAATCTAGGAATCTAGCTTATGCCAGGCAAGTGCTCTACCACTAAATTTTGGTCCCAGCCCCAGCTTGCAAATTTTTTTTTTTTTTAAATTATGAACTATTGGGCTGGGAAGGTGGCTCAGAGTGCTTGCCTTGCATGCATGAGGCCCTGGGTTCAATTCCTCAGTACTACATAAGCAGAAAAAGCCAGCAGTGATGCTATGGCTCAAGTGGTAGAATGTTAACCTTGAGCTGAAGAGCTGAGGGATAGCGCCTATATGCCCAGAGTTCAGGCCCCATGACCGGCAAAAAATAAAATAAGTTATCTAGTATTGTACAAAAGGACTTTAAAATGTCCATTTGTGTAGACAGTGCATCTTGATCCGTGTCAGCCCTTCCACAATCACCCCTAACTTGCAATTTATATATTAAAAATATCTTGACCATATGTTACTGTGTTTCTCTATTTCATAGTGAAGACCCAAAGATTAGCCCTTTCTATATCCTGTATCTATTTCCACACACACAGTAGTGCTTACATTTTGAATTTGCATTCAAATTGTGGCTCTGTCACTCCCTAGGTGAGTAACTGATGGAAATTTCCTGAGTCCCTTCATCTTCAATATGGGATTATGAGCATTAAGGAGATGATCTATGCTAGATTCCAAGACCCAAAAGGGGCTCTACCACAATAATGATTACCAGTGAATAATTTCTTTCTTTGTGATATGAGGAAATTACTTGTTGCCTTTAATAAAACCTAGGGTAATATGGTGAGAATTTAAAGAAGTAGGAAGACAATAGAAATTATACAATTTAGTTGGTGCTCTGTAAAGATTAACTGAGTCAAGATTTCAGATGAGATGTTAGACTAATAGGACTTTGAACAGATTTAACAGACACTTATTAGTTACCAAGCACAGCACCACCTAGGTCAAACCTGAGAGTAAGAAAGCCCAAGTCAAGGGTGAGAAAGAAGATTCTTCTCTAAATTCAAGGGAAAAAAGCAATACACGAGATATGTTCTTACTTGCCTACAATGTTTCCCTTCTCTCTCAGAGCAGATGATTCAGCGTCAGCAGTTCACATAAAAAGTATTTCACATGGAAAGTATTAGTGATTCTGTGGGGAAATAAGTTTCTAAGTGCAGCAGTCTGAAATTAATAACTTTCTCAGTGGAAACTCTCTTGACAACAACTCAAGATGAAGTCACAATGCAATTTTTCCAGTCTTGGATTGATTATCTTCCCTGTCTGCTTGATTTGTACCAGGCATGGATCCACAGGACAAGAAATTCAGTTTCCCCTTTCCTTATACAGCTGGCCTGCCAACTAGAGGCTTTAGGCAATGGTTACTCCATTTTTCAATTTCCAATCTATCCACTTATTAAACCCAGGCCAATCCTTTCTATTTATTTATTTATTATAGGATTTGGGGAAGACAGAGGGAGTGGGGAGGGGGAGCGATAGAGGGAGGAAAAGAAAGAGAAATGAAGAGGAGAGGAGACCCTCTAAGTCTTTACTGTTAATATAAAACATTTTGATTGAGGACATCAGAAAAGGAATAGGAAAAGGATATTGGAAGTTGTAGATCAGCTTTCTTTTGCTTTTGAGAAACATTCCCATAAGAAAGGATTTTATTTATATTAAAGACTTGTGTCCACGTGCAAGCAGTATATAGCTCTCAAAAGAAAAGGCAATTTAGGAAATAAGTAGAAAGGAGAGCAGTGTCTTTGCCAGAAAAAGCCACAGTGCAATAGACGCAGAAAGATAACAAGATGTTCCAGTAGCCATATGTGGCAGGACATACATATTTTTTTATTCCTTCTTCCATGTAAATTTAGATAAAGTAGATCGACTTCTATTTTCCACCAATGATTTTTAAAAAATAATTCCAAATTAGACTTTTTTTCCCTTTCTTATAGAAGGCATTTTTTATTCATAATACCGTATTACATTAAAAGGTATAGACTTTCTGGACTGGGGATGAAGACTAGTGGTTGAGTTTTTGCCTTCCATCTATAAGGCCTTTCAAGTATAACACTACACAAACAGCAATGCAAGCCAGGAGCCAGTGGCTCACACCTGTAATTCTAGCTACTCAGGAGGCTGAGATCTGAGGATTGCAGTTCAAAGCTAGCCCAAGCAGGAAAGTTTGTGAGACCCTTATCTCCTGTAAACCCCGAGGAAACCAGAAGTGGCACTGTGGCTCAAGTGGTAGAACACTGGCCTTGAGCTGAAGAGCTGAGGGACAGCACCCAGGCCCACAGTTCAAGCCCCACAACTGACAAGAAAAAAAAAAAAAAAAGCAACGCAAAATAAATACAACTGAGGCAAAGTAGACTCTTACAGCTTGGATGAATTTGTTGATGAGGCTAACAGAACAAGAGAGAACCTGGAGTTTGGAAAATGATAGAGATCTCAAAGTGAGAAAGAAAAATACCTAGACTTGATTTCAGTTTGATCCTTTTCAATATGGTTCAAAACAGGTATGTTGGTAGAGTGCTTGCCAGGACAAGTTAAATGCCCTGAGTTCACCGGCAAGTTAATAGATAAATTTAACTAATCTGAAAAATTAGAAGCTAAGATGATCTTACTGAGACTATTAAGAAGATATGGGAAACGCAACAAGCTTCAAAGATTGAGGTTTTCCTCCTGCATTGGACAGGTAGGTAGACGCAATTCCAGATGGCTGGATATGATCTAAAGAAACAGAAGAGCTGCCCTGTAGCTATGTGTGGGACACCGTGGAAGGCAGCTTTAAAAGCTAAATTCTCTGTGTCTTCACCCAGCTTATCGTTCAGTTGTGTGGTAATCATTAAGCTGGCTTAGTAGGCTTGCACTGCAAATGTACTTCAGTCCAGCTCTGTGTCACTGGGTAAAATGCATAATCTCTCCAGGCACAGTTTCATCGGTGAGAAATTGGCCATTCTGTCTCCCACCCACCTCTCAGCAGGGCCTCTGTGCATTTCTTGTTGTCCCTGCCTGAGATCAGGTTTTGACTTTCACATCCCTTCCTCTGAGAGTTTTCTTGAGGAAATATAGTCTCTGGATCCAGAGGCTAAGCTGTTAGGACACTAAAGAATGTTTAAACACGAAGCTACTGTCCGTCCTTGGGAAGGATTCAGGGAGAAGGTCAGGGAGCAAGTGCTTAGGATTTGCAGGCCCTCCGCGAGGGTCTATAGCTGGGTTCCCAATAAAACTTTATTTGTGGACACTGGACTTCCGCAGACTATTGGTCTAGGCGACGGGGCTGAGTGTGGTCCCCGCCCTGTCGTTGGCTGACCCCTGACCTATAGGATGGCAGTGAGGGTGGGAGTGGATGAGAACCTTGATCTTGTGGCTATACCAGGGAGTGGCCGGCTCGGGCGCCCAGACAACGGCCCTCCGCTGGCGCCGCGGGCCTGCCGGCGACTGGGGAGCTGAGGCGGAGGCTGAGGCGGAGGAGGGAGCCGAGGTGATGTGGCCGCGGCGGCGCAGGGCGCGGCTCGGTGGGGCAGGGCGGTGCGAGTTGGGGGCGGGGCGGCGCGCAGCGTCGTCGCCGTCGTCCGTCGTCTCCGCCTCCTCCCCAGGGGCCGCGGCGGAGCCTAGGCGGCAGCGGCGGTGCTTACGGCCTGAGGAGAGCGTCTCTCCCGGAGCGGCGGCGGCCATCGAGACCCCACCCGCGGCGCGACCCTCAGGGCCTCCCCACGTGTCCAGGCCGCAGCGCCCGCGTCCCTTCAGCTCGTTCCTGCGCGCTCCCCCCCTGCTGCCGGCTGCGTGATGGCGTTGGCTTTGGCGGCGCTGGCGGCGGTCGAGCCGGCCTGCGGCAGCCGGTACCAGCAGGTGAGCAGCGCCGAGTTCCGTCCCTCAGCCTAGAGCTTGGACCCTGGCTCCGCCTGCCGTTTCAGACCTCTGCAGGGCCGGCCCGTTGGCAACTCGACGCCCGGGCTTGGCAGGCCGCGCTGGGCCCGGGCCTTGTGGCCTCGGCCTCCATTCCAGGCCGCTGCGGACCCTGAGCGGCCCCCCTCGCGATCCCGGGTGGAAACGGCTTTGGTTTCCCGCATTTCCCCGGGCGGGTGGGTCCCCGAGTCCGAACTCTGGGCTCAGAGTAGGCAGTGACCTAGGGCCATTTATTTTTCTCCTTTCCACCTTTGCTTTTTTTTTTTTTTTGATGTCACTGGAAAAAGAAAGGGGGAGGGAAATGAAATGCGAAAGGAAACTGGGTGGAGAGAAAAGATAAAAATCGCTGGTGCTGCGGCGACGGCTCCCCCGCAGCGAGATGCGATTACTCAGGGTTTCTGGGGCCCCGTCGGTTCGGTCAGGCCCGGCCCGCCCCTCCCCCACGCCTCGCTTTCAAGACAAAAGTAAAAACGAAGCGAGACGAGCCCGCAGTTTGCGGCAGATCTGCAAGAGGCGATGTTTGGTCGAGGTGTTGCCCCAAAAATGTAGCGCGTCGGTGACGCCACCAGGCGTGTGCCCGCGAGTGTTCTAATCCCTTGGAAGTGACGTTTTGAGAGATGTAATAACATATCTGGGGAGGAAATGTATGGGGGATGATTGCATTATTATCTCGAAATTGAGGCCCCAGGGAAAAGGGCTGCCGGCTTTTTACTCTCTTGTCTGTAGCTGTTTTTCTTTGGGATTTTTGCGGAGACCTTCTGCAGAGGATTTTTGTTGTTGTTGTTGTTTCGGGGTTTTTTTTTTTTTGGTTGTTATTTTTAAGAGATATTAAACTAACACATCGTGATTGTGGGAATGGAGCCAAGTAGTAGCTGATGTTGATTGGAACCGCGGATCACTGTGTTGTGTGATGATGCTTCAAATGCCTTGGGCATAATTTTCACACAAATGTCCAACCTGCCTTTATGAAACTAAAATGTCGCGATTTAGATAAGCTACATTTTCTGTATTTTACAAACAAGGAAAAACCCAATACCATTGAAACGTGTAGATTAACCCTGGTGCTGTCAGTTATTGGTTTGTTTTGCCGTCTTTCGTTGGGTGTTGTCACCAGGCCCCTTCCCCCCCCCCCCCAGCTCAGAATGACTAATAAGAATTTGGCTTCTTGGTCTCATAGAGATTTTCCCCAAATTGTGGCAGAACAATATAACCCACGAATCTCTTAACAGCCTGGAGTCTAATAAGTGCATTTTGGTATGACCTTGGACCAGACTCTAAATTTCATATATATATATATATATATATATATACACACATATATATACTTTATTATCATTTTTTTTTGCCAGCCCTAGGCTTGAACTCGGGGTCTGGACACTGTCTCTGAGCTTCTTTTGCTCAAGGCTAGCATTCTACCACTTGAGCCACAGCGCCATTTCCCATCTTTCTGTTTATGTGGTACTGAGGCATCGAACCCAGGACTTCATACATGCTAGGCGAGCACTAAGCCACATTTCCAGCCCCTCTAGATTCTTTTCTGCTTTAATAAGATCTTTTTTAATAAGATTCAAATCCCATGTCACCTAACTGTCACCAATGTGTTTGCAAATCACCTGTGTCCTGTAGTGTCATCTGATTCATTATCTTCATCCTGACTTGGATAAGGCAAATAAGCGTCTTGGGTTTTCCTTCTACTGCTGTCTTCTTGGATAATGCTGATAAGAGTGCTGGTAATAAGAAAATTTATTGGAGTATCAAAATTATTCTTTGTCCAGTCTGGTGCGTAATGAATTTTAATTAGGCAAGATTGTGGTGTGTCAGAGAGGGGCCATCTTATTCTTAAAAAAAACTTCAATAAAAACATAAAAAATATTCTTCGTAGAAAAATTTGTGCGTAGATAACTAGAGTCAACATTTTGATGTGTGTTCTGTGACCTTATAGCTGTATAAATATGCACAAGTTTAGATCAGTATACCTAGTGTAAAGATAAGGGACACATATTGATTTACTGTGCATCAATCAGCACTAATTGGTTTGCATCCATTTTACAAAACCTTTGTGTCAGTGTGTTCTCACAGTGTGGATGAAGAAGACAAGTCTCAAAGAGGCTCAGGAACATGCTCAAGGTCACAAGGCTAGGTTGTGATTATAAGGATATACACATACATACCTACTCACTGCCAAAAATAGGATATGCACCAGCAGATGCATACAGTATTTGTGTATATGCTCTGTTAAGCACCTATACGTGTTTCCAAGCACATCTTTATACACATGCAGTTCTTGGACACATTTTGCACATGTATTCGTATGTATCATGTCAAGCATCAGCATTCACAAATTTACTTGTGTATTCTTGCACATACATGTGCAAATGCACTCAGTCTGGATATACAATGAAATGGTCCATATTCTAATACTGTTGTTTTTTCACATGATTATGTTTTGTATATCATCTGTATCCCTTTCTCTCTTTTGTGCGTGCATGTGCATATATATGCATGAGGTACTGGGACTTGAACTCAGGGCTTTGTGCACTTAGATTTTTTGCTCAAGGCTGGTACTCTATCACTTGAGCCATACCTCTGCTTCTGGCTTTTTGCTGGCTAATTGGAGCTAAGTGTTGTGGATTTTGCTGTCCTGGCTAACTTCACACCTCTATCCTCAGGTCTCCGTCTCTTCAATAGCTAGGTGCCTGGCTTTCTTCTTCTTTTTTTTTTTTAGGTGCTGGAGATACATTGAACTCTTGACCTCAAACATGCTAGGCAAGCACTTTGCCATATCCATAGCCCCATATCAAATATTTTTGCTGTCTATAGAGCACATACATATTTAAAAGGATTTTGAATTATAGAATGTTAATGAATTGTCCCAGCAACTTGGTGGGAGCATGATACTCTTACGTTGTTTCCAAAGGCTATTCTGACTTCTCTTGGATCTTATTAATCAAATTGAGTTGGTCCTCTAGCCAATGTAATGAAAGCTGTATGATTTATAATGCAAATGGATTTTTTCCATTTATTTTTTGTACTAAGATTGAATTGAGGGCCTCTTGGAAGGCAGTTGGTTTACCACCTGAGTCATGTCTCCAGCCCTTTTTTGCATTGTTTTTGAGGTAAGGTTTTGCTTTATGCCAAGATCATCCCAGGCTTTGATCCTGTTAGTTGTGCTTCCTGTGTAGCTGAGATAATGGATACACTCTACTGTGCTCAGCCATTGGTTGAGAGGGAGTCTCAAGAACATATTTTCCCTGGGCTGTCCTCAAACCATGATTCCCAGCCCTCTGCCTTCCAGTAGGTAGGATTACAGACAGGCTTGAGCCAAACAAGCTGTCTTTATGGTTTTTATTGATTTGTACAACTTGAATTTAGCATAGTGACAGAGCTTACAGAAGGGCTAGACAGGGCACTGGTGGCTCATGCCTATATAATTCTAGCTACCGAAGAAACAAATCTGAGGATCTAGGTTGGGTCTCCAGCCAAGGGAGACAAATCAGAGACTGTTTATCTCCAACAAAGCCAGAAGTGGAGAAGTGCCTTGGAGTGGAGAAAGACAAGCTAGAGCCTCAGGTTCTGCATTCTACCCCCTGAGCGGTCCTCCCTCCATGTGCAAACAAAAAGAAAAGGGAAAGGGAAAGACTGGGCTCACAGTTTCCCTGTGTTAGGATTTTGTTTACTATTTTTCCTTTTTGCAGTTTTGAAACTGAGTTTGTGTTCCAGACATGGAAACACTGTTTCAAGACAGGTCTATACCCAATGTTGAGAAACTTGTCTTGTGGAGCACTCAGTAGACCCTCTTTGCCTTCCTGCAATAGATCTTTGCCTACATCATAAAATTTTCCACTCTATGCCAGATGTTTTGAGATATTTGGATCTTGAATATAATCTAAGTGGACAGTAGTACTGCCACGTAGGTAGAAAAACTGCACACTGTTCAGTTAGGACTTAACTCATTTCCTGCTGTTTGTAAGCAACACCAGCGAGAGCACATCTGAGAATAATAACATTTTCCTAGATCAGAAAATAATTTCATGTCTTTTAATAGGTAAAACTTTATTCATATTTAAGTATTAGAGAAATTATGATCATGGGAGAAGGACCAAAGAATGTCTATATCATTTGTTTTACTTACTTGTTTTTTAGTTTCAGAAGTCACTTTACATTACATCACATTACAGGCCTGTAATGTCAGCACTGGGATAGCTGAGGCAGGAGATTTGTGAGTTCAGGACAAGACTGAGCGCTATATAGTGAGGCTCTGTTTTAAAACTACTAAATATATATCATTTATATAACGTGTGTGTGTGTGTGTGTGTGTGTATATGTGTATGTGTCTATGTATGTGTGTGTGAGTGCATGTGTTGGTCCTAGGGCTTGAACTCAAGGTTTGTCCCTGAGCTTTTTGGCTCAAGGTTGTCACTCTACTACTCCACTTCAGCTTTTTGTGGTTAATTGGACTTTCCTGCTTGAGCTGGCTTTGAACCATAATCCTCAGATATCAATCTTCTGAGTAGCTAGGATTACAGGCATTGAGCCACTTGTGCCTGGTCTATATAATGTTTGTATACACACACAAACACACATGACTATTTATAGAGAGATAAAATGGGTAAATTGTTTCTTTGAAAACTACTTAGAATTATGAGGAAATTTACCATATTAATCTTTGGTTTTGTTTTTTTGCTTTTTTGTTGTTGTGTTTATTTTTTGCTTTGTTTTGTTTTTGGTACTGGAGATAAACCTGGGGCCTTGTGCATATTAAGCATAAGCTAAACCTGCAAACCCAACCATTTTTAATGTAGTCAGTATTATTAACTATGCTCATGTCTGTGCGGTCACTATCTAATGGGTATGAAATGGTATCTCTTTGCAGTATAGATTTCCACTATTGATTACTGATGTTGAGGACATTTTCATTGCATTGGCTATTTGTATTATCTTCT